GTATTAGAGCCAGTACCTGGAATAGAGTCAGAAACACGCAAATTTGCAGAAGCAGCAGCAGCACCAACAATGGAATTATCACCCATGATTGTAGCAGAAACTCAACAAATCACGCAGGGTATACAACAGATCACAGCACATACACAAATATGGCAGATGCACGAAGACAACAGAGGCACAAACACAGTAGAGGCAGATGCACGAACACAGTAGAGGCACAAACATGACAGAGCACACAGCGGAACACGGCAAAGGCACAGACACAAGAACCCTAAAAGAAATTAGGGCACACAGTAGAACACGGGTGGGCACAACACACACAGGTCACCAGAAAGTCGGCTCTGATACCAAGTCAAACAATATGGGTAGAATATTTTCATATATATTTCATTCTCCGAAAGGAGGTATTTATAATACAGGTTACAAACCCTAGTAGGGTTTAATTAGGAAATAAGTGGAATCCTAATTACATAATATCTATACAAAAGGAAAAATAAATAAAACCCAAATAGAATAGAATATATTCTACTCGCCAACATGAAGTTCCAACGAAAGAACACTGGCCCTTCCTCTTTCTTTGTTTCCTTTCCTTTCCTTGTCTTCCCTTCACCTCATTGACTTCGCTGTGTTCTCACAAAGGAAGTTGAAGCTCGCAGCTTCCCTCGCTCATAAGATGCTTTCTAATTAAAAGGAAAGAAATCTCGAGGCCATGCCCTTCCCAACTCTTTGACCAGCCTATTTACTTCTCCGGCACCCAATCAAACGATAGTCATTCAATGACATTGGTGGATCCAGGATTGGAAAGCCAACTGGGCGGAACTTACATACAAACTCGACGATATGAGTGAATTTCATTAATAAGCAGAAAAGGATACACCTAGTCAGAGGGACATAATGAGTCTTACCCTCAAATACATCTATGCACAAACAAAAGCTTAACAATAATAAAAAAAATCACAAGTAACTTCAACAAAATCACAAAATTTTAATTCAATCCCTACGTAAATCCTAGAATACTCAATTTTAAATTAAAACTAGAATTAAAGATATATAAAAATTAGAGAATTAGAAAAGAGATTTTCTATTTAAACTCCGCACTTCTCTTTGTTCACCCCAATACTTAAATCATTAAGTTGTAAGTTTTATTATTGTGTAAAAAGACAAAAAAGGTCATCCAACTTAGTAATTAACCCTATTACATCTATACACACACCCCACACCCCACCACTCTTCATATCAAGTTTTAGAAAAATACAAACTCCGCTACATCCTATTGCCAGATTACTCATCTCTTTTAAAGACATAGAAAATTGATGAGCCTATCTCTTTAAAAATGCGTGGGAGTTGATGGAAAGGCTTGTTGATTATCAACTCAACAATACCCAAGGGTTGGAATTCCAGTTACAGTTCTTGGAGAG